TATATATAAACAGAAGAAAATGCAACTCTAAAGAAAGTTGAATTAAACCTCCCCCGAGATTATTTTTTTATTATTATTGCATCCCTATATGTTTTCACACCAACTGTAAAATGACCAAGTGCTGAGTTTTAAAATAAGACATAAAAAAATACATTTAAATTTCCTACAAAGCATATTGTTTCCCTAAAAACTGTGGTGATTAGGGGTTGAATTTTCCAGGTATTTAATACATTTTACACACCTTCATATTTATACTTTAAACTCCAAATTTTTCACAGTATTTTATGATATATTTTTTCAATACTGTGTTTCAATTTTCAAACACATGTTGTTCAGCAAAGCTCTTAACATAAAGCATATATATATATATATATCATAAAGACACACTGTAGTACAACCTGCCAAAGATCTGTCCTTTATCAGTGATTTGAATTATATCAAATTTCTTGTAGTGCATGTACTGAATGATCTTTAGACCAGTGTTTTCCAAACTGTGTCACGACACATTAGCGTGTCATGGCAAGTTGCTAGCAGAGTCGTGAGAGTTTCACCAAATAAAGAATATTTAACATTAAAAAAAAGCTCTAGAAAAAAAATACTAAATGTGGCAGCAGGGGTGTCATTCAGATCGACGTAAGTGGGTTATGGTGTCATCCATGAAAAAAATTTGGGGAACCACTGCTCTAGACTTTTCAATTTGTCCCATTTTTGAATTACAAAATCCTTGTTTTATGAAACTTAATATATTGAACACTATTTTTCTTCATGCAGAATATAACAGATAAAAGTATCTCCTACTTATCTATTATGACAAGCATAAAACGAAAATTATAAATACTTACAAACCCAGAAAATAAACAATGTGTTTGGTTCAGTTGGTTCTTTTGTTATTGCTTGAAGGGATATATATTTAAATTATGAAGCTTAAGTAATACATGCAAAGAACATTTATGTTATGGCTTAAATCTTTGTGCAAAAAAAATATGTAGAGATGAAAGAGATAGCATTTTGGCATGACACAACATATTCAGCTGTCAAATAATTTATATATTTATTTATTCAGCTGTCAAATAATTGATATATTTATTCAGCTGTCAAATAATTGGTATATTTATATATTTATTCAGCTGTCAAATAATTGGTATATTTATTTATTTATTCAGCTGTCAAATAATTGATGTATTTATTTATTTATTCAGCTGTCAAATAATTGATATATTTATTTATTTATTTATTCAGCTGTCAAATAATTGATATATTTATTTATACAAATAGGTTCATTAGTTCCACAGAGATCTGGACACTATTGGGACACATAAACATGATATTTTACAAAAGGTAAACAACTAAAAGACTGAGCAAGATACAATAACAATACTTTAAAAATGGGTTATTTAATAATTCATGGTGATAATAATTTGAGGTGAATACTAATACCATAGCTGGATTGAAACTAGAGCTGGGCAATTGACCCAAATTGATATAATTGATTACCTGTGAGTGTCAATGACACTGATTAGTGTCATATAAAGTAATCGATTAATCAAAATTATGACTAAAATGATTAATGCAATAAAAATGAACTAATCAAAATTAGTGTTTTCTATTACTGCATTTCTGATTATTCCAACAATCCAAGTCCCATGAGATTAATTGATTAATCATCCTGATGGTGTTAAGGCTGAATCTTTGAGATCCTTCAAGAAATAGTTCTTCTCTGTTGTACAAGGCCCATGCCTCTGTCCACTTGGCAGCCATTCCCAAGCATAGGCATTTGAGGACTGGAATCTGCTCATGGGGGTTCTATTCTTGTGGTCCTCCAAAAAGGGTTCTGATGCCTCTAAGTTTTAGCCCTTGCCAATAACCTCAATGCCTTCTCATAAGGACCTTTTTTCCCCATTTACAAACTATGCAACAGTTACGATGTGAATTACAAGGTTTCTCTGCGAGGTTGATTCCTTCCACCTCCTCCATTACACTTACAACCAGTCTGCATTTTGTGATGTGACAATGTTACTAAATTATTTGGTTAAACTATTTGCTTATCAAAAATATTCCAATCTGCCCAACTGAGGATAATTTTAAAGAAACGTACATTATGTTTTCATTTTTATACTTTTGATTCAATTACATGACTTTCATACAGATTAAAAATTAACAAGTTCCTTGATCTGCACAAATGGAAGCTAACTTTATACATCAGAACTGAAAAATGTTTGACGTCAGCTGTGAAAGCAGTCTCCAAAGAAGATTACATAAATTCTATATCACAAGTTGTTTGGCTTACATAATTGCATGTAAGTATGTGTAAAACCATACTTTGTTATTCATTTAGAAAACATTCAGCTCCATTAAAACTTGTTAACATAGCCTCTATACATCAATACACAAGAAAAGAATATTAAGTCACCAGCCAGAAATTTTACACAGAGTCAGCTTTGTTGGCATTAACACATGCAAACTAAGCACAATGTACAAAAGCCACATAACTGCAGGTCTTTTTTGTTTTGTTTTTTGGTGCTAAAGTTCCTGTTTGCCAACACAAAGTTAACTTTTACTTCATGTAAACCATTCCCTCATTCTAATGGTTAAAAAAACAAAAAAAATCACAGAAACCTTTCTTTATTTCTGAGATACAATTGTACTTAACATTGTCACATCACAAAATGCAGACTGGTTGTAAGTGTAAAGGGGAAGGTGGAAGGTATCAATTGAACGTGTGCCAGCCTATTTCTAAAATACTGCTACTAACCTAAAATACAAAGCTGGCATTGTGCCCTTTTTTTTAAGATATCAATTTCTGTGATTTAAATATTTATATTTCTTTAATCATTATTATTATTATTCATACATTATGTAAACTATGTTTACTCTCATAACTTAAAACCACTCTTATAATAATAATAATATAATAACTTTATTATTTCAACTTGATTTTTGATATCCCCATTGAAAGCTATTTAATGTTTTTATCATATATGTACTTCCCGTGTTTATTATTTAGAAGTTTGCTATGATAGCACATGTACCTGTGTAATGCATGGTGAAAGGTTTATGAAAGTTAATAAATCATTCGTAGAGTTCAATTATTGATTTTATAGAAAAGAATTGTTGTTTTGTTTTATCAAAAAGTAATAAAGTAGCATGTGACTTAAAAACATCTCACTTAATAAAAGTGTGTGTGTGTGTCTTGCAAGTATCTATAAACAATGTGTGAAAAAGAAATCCCTTAGATGATGAGTGGGATTTGAAAATGAAATACAACTGAAGAATTAACGTTTTACCAGATACCAATATAAATAGTGTTTCTATTTTTGTCCTAAGTAATGACTAAAGGTACACAGACTATATGTATACCCCATTTAATAAAAGAGAAAACTGGATAAACCTCCATCAGTACCCTTAGTGATCACCTCCACTGACTGATTTATATTTAGTCATAACTGAAGCTATGAAATCTTTCCATTTTACAAGAAAACTTCTTGGTACATCCCAAATCATTCTTGGTTGATTAAACTATATTTGACAGGTCCAAATGCAAAATCCTAAGATGAGTTAGAGGATAAACAAACACAC